TCCCACGTTGTAGACAGCCGGATCCTCAGCAAGACGGCTTTGTCAACGGATTCAACTCCATACTCGAGAAGTTCACTCAAATACCGTTTATGTACGATACGGCAGACAACTTTCGAACCTACACCATTATGCGATTTTAGACACAATAACTCCACAGGAGATCAATTTGTAAGTGGTTTATTTACAAATCTGCCGAAGAAATCGAAGCTGTTTTTTTGTGCGATCGACTCGCGATGCGGTGCCGGTTGCTTATTAAACTGAAATTTAATTGCCAATCTATATCGTTTAATTTAATTGAGAAGAAATTAGCTGAAATGAATTTTGTTTTAGCTTTAAAGGGATAGTAGCGGACGAAGCACTCGGGGAATGTATTTGCGTGCTACTCAGAGAACTGATTATTCTCCATTCTGCACAATCTACAGCGGATTCAGGACACCGCAAAATTCCACAAATTTAATATCTGCACTTTGGCACGAGTGGTTGGCCGGCTCGGGTCTAAACACCAGCGGATTTAATCTTTTAAAAGACGCAAAAGATATTTTTTCAACAAATATTCCGTCGTTGAAGTAATTAAAAAGTATTACTGTAGCACTGTCAAAAATTACTTTTTTATGTACCTATTTATTTGTTTGTCAAAATACAACCTTTTTAATAATCACTTTCTCAATGCAGATTTTGCGTTTCGTCTCATCGCAGTGAAAATGACGAAAGTGTTGATGCCATTTAAGCAGCACAGAGTCTGCTCTTATCTGCAATTTAACAGTTCACCTCTTTTTATAACTTTACTTATATTTATGAGTAGTCCTAAAAAATAAATTTGATTAATCACATGTTTTAATTTATCAACGTATAACTCTTTTAAAAGTTTGCAAACATTAATTTATTAATTGGTAATTACCGAAAATTAAAGAAAATTTATTTTTGTCATCTTAAAAATGTTGCTCGCTGAAAAATGTGGCTTTATTTATTTTTCAGAAATAGGCGTTCAAATGAACACACATGATATCCAAAAAAATTAATTGAAAGTTATTTTAACAGAACTTTTCTCGGTTCTGAAGTACAGTCCAACAAATAGTGCTTCTCTTGTTCATGACAACCTCTATGGAGTAAAAACAATATAGAAGATACTAGTCACAGAGTAATAGAAAAAAAAGAAGGTTTCACCTTCTTAAAAAAAGACAGTTGGGAGGCCTGAAAAGATTTCACATTCTTAAAAAAGAGATATTTGGGGCCCCCGAGAAGGTATCACATTCTTAAAAAAAGACAGTTGGGACCCCCGAGAAGGTTTCACATTTAAAAAAAAAAACATTTGGCGCCCCCGAGATGATTTTACATTTTTAAAAGACACAGTTGGGACCCCCGAGAAGGTTTCACATAAAAAAAGACATTTGGCGCCCCCAAGAAAGTTATACATTTTTAAAAAAGAGAGTTGGAAGCCCCGAGAAGGTTTTACATTTTTAAAGAAGACAGTTGGGACCCCCGCGAAGGTTTCACATTCTAAAAAAACATCTGGGGCCCCTGAAAAAGTTTTACATTTTTAAAGAAGACAATTAGGCCCCCCGAGAAGGTTTCACATAAAAAAAAGACAGTTGCGTTCCCGAGAAGGTTTCACATTCTAAAAAAGAAATTTGGCGCCACCGAGTAGGTTTTACATTTTTAAAAAAGACAGTTGGGACCCCCGAAAAGGTTTCACATTAAAAAAGACATGTGGCGCCCCCTAGAAGGTTTTACATTTTTAAAAAAGATAGTTGGAACCCCCGAGAAGGGTTTCACATTAAAAAAAAAACATTTGGCACCCTCGAGAAGGTTTTACATTTTTAAATGAAGAGGGACGTATTCTCAGCTTTTAATAATAATATTAATAAGAAAAGGTTTATTGGTATTTTACACTACAGAACAGAGTGCATACATAAGTCGGGTACCTATCGATTTATTACAATAAACAAAAGAATACATGAAATATATACACCACAGAAGCAAAATATTCTTCAGTTGTATAAAAACATTTCCGCAGGAAAATGTCTTTGATTGCTTTTTTAAAGCATTTAAATAGCAGTACTTTAATTGGGAATGGTAGAGTATTAAAAAGTTTAATATTTATGTAATTAAATGACTTTTGGCTTCGATATACCTATGCGATGAAATTGTAGATGGAATTCGTTGCAGTGACGCGTTGTACGATATAGCCATGTTTAACTGAGTTTTTTTAAAAAAGAATCTGCGTTTTCTTTCACGTGTAATGTTTTGTACATACAGAGGGTTGGTAGAGAAAAAATACCAAATTTTTGAAAAATGGGTTACAACTATCATATGTTTTACTGTTGTTAATGAATCTTATTGCACTTTTTTGAATTTTAAATATTCTTACACTCTGGCTTGATGACCCCCATAAAATGAAACCATATGACAATAGACTTTCAAAATTTGAATAGGAAAAGGTGATTACGGTCTCGTGGTTGCAAAATAATTTCAACTAACGTATCTGATATACAACTTTATTCAATCTTAGAGCCAAGTTTTCTATCTGATCTTGCCACATTAGCTTGTTGTCCACATTAAGTCCTACTAGTTTCACAGAATTTGTGACAACTTCGTTAATTGTGGTGAATCGTAAATGTTGTGTCTTATTGCCATTCACAATTCACTTATTTGTTGACCATTAGCTTTTAACCGACTCTGAACTTTTTGTATCTCCTGCAAATAAAATTTGGCGATCACTTTTCTAGAAAGTGGGGTGATTTCATAAAAAAAAATTGTTATGACATCATAAACATAGATAATACACAATGAGAGAGAAAAAGAAAAAAAAGAAAAAAAACGAAAGGCCAAGTTTGGAAACGAACGCACAACGCCCGGTCCGCATTCCTGACTCGTAACCACTAGATCACCACCGGGATCTCTTAACGCTAATGGTAAACTGTTATTATACCTTGCATTATGTTTTTGCAAAAATTTGGACGGTTAGGGAAAAACTCAAAGCGGATTCGTACATCACACTTGTAGGACTATATTGTTGTATAAATCAAATAAACATATTATAATAATATTCTTTGAAATAACGTCATCAAATTATTGGTGGGGATGATTAGCAAAATTTTACCACATACATGATATTTCTGTATATATGTATATTATACAAAATTTGACAATAATCGGTCCAGCAGTTTCGGAGATTACGTGTCTAATAAAAATGGATACAAACACCAGACAGACAGACGGAAACAGAAGACTACTGTTTTTGTGCTGTAAGGGTCATGAAACGTCGAGAAAATATAAAAAGGGCCATTTGTCCGATGGACTCGATTACTATACTTCCTTAGCTTACGCTCGGGAATAAAAATGTATCTATGAATAGATTTTCTTTATCGATTATCTATCTACAATATTACTAAGTATTATTTGTCTCATCTAATTTGCTTGAAATTCTAGAACACAATAACATAATGAGTACTATGTACTATGACATTGTATATCAAAGTTATTGTATTTATCCGCACCAAAACGTAAACGCTGTCTGTGAGAAGATTAATATAAAAACTTTTGTTAAAAATAAATTTGTTGTCATAAGTAAAACTGATTTCACGTGTGGCAGGCAAAATGTATGTAAATAAAAGTATATATATTTTCACTACAAAAAGTTCTCCTTAGTGTTAACATTTATTAACGAAGTAAGTATATATTTTTTGTATGAATACTTATTCTTGAACTTCATTTATTACAACAAAATTTGCTAACAACATCTTCAAATTTTGTCAAGTAAATTCTATGTAAAATGTACAAAATAGCAGGTATCCATATTTGTGATTTATTGATATAAGTAATTTTAATTGTGCCTGTACATGTAGATTTTGGGAAAATATTCGAAATTGTACAACAAAATTTTATGGTTTAGCTTTGTACAGCCTTTAGGTCATAATTATCATGCTAAACCGCTAATCACAATTCATACTTTACCTGTTTCAAAAATTTGATTGATGTATGTTAATTTTGTTTGACGTTTATAGAGCGGAATGGTCGTTTATTTATAGGTTAACAATGTATCTATATTATTTTAATGGTAACATTGGTAACTGTACTATGCCGGTTACCGTAAACAATATCAAATTTCTAAAAACAAACTTTAGATACAGTGTCTTACAATTTATTAAATTTTATTGATTTTAAATTCGTAATAATTAAAAGACAACGATTAAACTTTATGTACCTATTCATCCCACTAATAACTGTTATTATTTATATTATTATTACTATTATTGGTTGTATCAAATTACGAAATAAACTTCAATAAATGCATTTAAAAAGACAAAATTTGAAGCATTTTTACTTCCCAAGCGTAAGCTAAGGGAGTATTGTATACATCGTTCACTGTAAGATCAACACAGCTGTAAATCTGAGTAAAAGCACAAAATCAGTCGGGCCAAGTCCACTTTCCAATTGTCCGTCATCGTTTCTCTGTCATAGTGAATTTTTCTAACTGCGTAAAAGTACCTGTTTAAATTAGTGCCTCATAGATTCATTCGCATTCGTGCTAACGTGTTGACCGGTTCACTTAAGTTTATGTTACCCTAAAACATAAATTTAAAAAACCACCCCCTTCTGAAGTGTGCATGTTACGTTACTGACTGACAGTCCGTTGTCAGATTCTAATGATTCACCATCTTGAATTTAAAATAGCCCATCTTTAATCGAGTCCATCGGCTGACTCGATACTTTTATGTTTTCTCGACCTTTCATGACTCCTAGAGTACGAAGAAATAGGTTTCCCGTTTCGATCTGTCTGTCTGTCTGTTCGCCGTCTGTGTTCTAGAGATTCTCATATAAAAAGAAAATTCCCAAATTGCGGGAAAAGCTGGATATGTTTTGTTGTATTTCAGGGGCGAAGAAAGTTGTGTCGAAGTAACTTTCGAACAATTTTTTTTAATAAAAAATATTTCTGTGGCTACATTTCGGTAAAACAAAAAAAAAAACAAAAATAATAATTTCAAGAGTTCTACCTAGGATTAAACTTTTTTGGCTGTCCATAATTTCTGAAAAGCTAAATACCCCTCGATAAAACTAGGGATAATTCTAAATTTTATCACGTATAAAAGGATGTTTAAAATGAAACGTTGTGCTAATACACAGTACAGAAATAAACTTTATCCAAAAACAACAGTCTTGTACGTACAACTTTCAATAAATAAAGTTCATTGAAAAAAGTGTATCAAATTTACTGATATATCTGAATATACGACGCACTAAATGGTGAATAAATGGAAGAGGAAACAGTCGAAGAAAAAGGTATGGCTTGCAGACGAGCAGGTGTTACAGCCATCAAATTAGATTTAGGCACTGCTAATAAAGCAGCACTTCTAGGAACAGTGTAAACAATATTTTGGTTCTGTGGTAAAACTACATAAAACTGCCCTCCTTGAGGCTGTTCCAATTTTTCTTTCTCTTTCTCAGGAGCAGCTTCTAAGTTTTCTGCCTGTTGTGATAAATAACTTTCGGTAGTTGCATCAGTTGTTGTGGGCTGTTCCGTAGTGGTAGTTTCCACTTCTGGTGGTGATGGTGGGCCATATGAAGGGGCAGGTGTTGGTAATGGTGTTGCTCTAAGTGGCAAATTTAGCTGTTGGCCTGATGGTGTCCATCCTGCTGCTACGTAGGGAGCAGATTTTTTAACGATTTCTATTCTTTGTCTAGGAATGTCAGCAGTTACCATAGAAACGATGACTATGATGAAGGCTACAGTAAACTGAAAATTTTCTTATTAGAACTTGTGGTGGTAATGTGTATTGACCTACGTCTATGATTGTGTAAATATCCCACTTATCAGCGTCTAATACAATATTTTTTTCAGTCGACATTGTCTGATTAAATATAGGGTTAAAGAGGGAATGGTCTTTATATTAGTTGAACTTACCTTCATTTTTGGTTTGCGGTTTTGACTAGGTTAGAGCGAACAATTAACTGGCGCTTATCACGGGAATCTAATCGTATTTATAGTGTAGAGCGGTGATGTTAAGAACGTGACTTGTTTATTGCTGGTAGATTTATACTAAATTTAATTATCGGGAGATGTAATTAAGTATTCTGGAGGAACTACACCATTGACCCATAATGTGTACGGTGTCATGGCACAAAGAGCAGACTTGTTAAGGTGTATTTATTGTGAAAACATGCAAGTCCATGAAATATGTTTATTTTAATAATAGCAAATTCGGCATCAAAACGTCGTTGTAAAAAACGCAAAGAATGCACAGCATTTCAAAATTAGAAATAAACCATCATAAAACTTGATGAAATTCCGTCTTACGGATGTACCGAATTTTAAAAATGGCCGGTAAATGAATAATCTATTATGCTATACTACCTATATGTTTCACAAAAATTATCCCCAGTTGTTACTGAAAAAATGAGAAAGATGAGAAATGTAGACAACAAGTAAAATTACATAATATAAGTATGAAAAAACGAGGGTTCTGACGGAAAAAATGACACCGTGATTTTTTACATAAATGATTTTAATGTTTTTCCCAATACCTATGCGTTACGTCCTGTCAAATTTCAGTTTAGTTGACGCAAAAGACGCTACAAATATAATTTATTAAAAAATATGCCATTTTTACTTCCTGAAGGTAAGCTAAGAAAGTAGTACATACTCGACTCCATGTTTTCCATTAATTTCCATGCTTCTAGAGCGGGTTTTACAATTTCGACTCGCACATTTTTTAGGTTTATTTTTAATTACTTTCAACATTTATTCAAATCAATTATTTTCAGATTTTGTCTGTTATGTAGTTGTTACTAAACCCTCAGTAACTAGCTAAATAAATAACTACCCATTTCCTGTTTATTAAAAACCATACATTCGAACAGCATAAACCGAGTGCCGACTCGAATTACCTCCAACAGGTATACCCATGTCATGTCGGCTTCCTGCTCACAGAAAGAACAACAAATATTGGATAACTGTTAGTCCACGTTCGCTTCATATATTTTTAACTACTTAAGTCGTTCGTGGTTAACAGTTGTCTTGTTAATCCCCTCTTTCACTAGTTCGGCCAGCTTTATGCTGTAGATTACCTGTTAATATTACAAAGCTCTGCCGAAGCCCAGGAGCTACCAGAAGCTTATCGAATTTGCATCGGTTAGTCCAAAGATTACCGAAATGATTTTTTTTTCCAAGAATTGGAAATATTTAACCTTGCCACAATTACAGAAAAAGTGAGAGTTTATTGGTTAAATTGTCGTTTAACGAGCAAATGCACCTCGCTGATTACATGACAGGAATAATAAAGATGTCACGTATAATTGCGTGGCGGTTTGGAGTACGTGCTGGGGACGGCCGTCCTTAGGTGGCAACCGCCGCAAATAAACACGAACACGGTTCTAGGTCAAGGCTTGTTAAGCACTCACCCTCTGGAACGTCGCCCAAGAGACCGCCTGCAAATGGTTCATTATTACTACATTATTGACAAGAGCAAAACACATTTTTTGTCTGCCTAAAAGGTTATGCAGATTTCTGTCTACTGATGTACCAGAAAAATTTTTTGTTAAACACCAGATAAAGACCAACGACGATATTCACCACATTTATACCGCTGAAAATGCAACTGATTTCTATACTATAAGGGTCTTCAAAGTTTCAAATTCTGTTCCGGGCAAATTGTTTCAGAATAAATACCTCAGTTTTTTAACTTTACAAAGTAATATAACGTAAGTATGAACGTAGTCAAAAAAGGTAGATAGTTATAAGAAAGCAACTGTCGACTGTATCACGTTAAAGTACGGCGAAAGTTAACATCAATATTTGATAAAAATCCAAACACAAAGGCATTCCAAAAACCCACTTACGTACATTTTATGATCTGTAAAAGTTAGAAAAACTCCATGGACATTGTGAGCTTTATATTTTACCACAAGGTGTCAATTATTTTTTAACAAAATAATAAATTATTCAAATATGCTTTGGAAATAATAAAATAGAATGCTAGAGAATTAAACTAAGATTGTCTTTGGGATGAAGTTATTCAGCGACTTTTTAACTTTTAATTAGATTATTTATATAATTTATAGACTGAATAGTGTTTTAGAAATGCAATAACTAATAAAAAAATAGTTTAAATTTATTTAGACACAACTTTCCTCACCCCTGAAATGCAGGCGAACACATAGGTACAACTTCTTCGAAAAATTATATAATTTAATTTTGTGAATTATATTTTTTTAAGATAACTCCTATTAATAAAATATAGCTATTTGTGGATTGTTTAAATACAAGTAAAGAAGCATGCTGTACGTATATTTCAAATGAGTTTTTCCGTAACAAATTTTGTGATGACGTCATCAACATTTTAGTAAGTACACGTATATCAGTTTGATAGGTACAGTATAATAGTAATAATAGCATAATGTATTTCCAAATTTTCGGAAAAGTGGAGTGATATAATAAATAAAATAAACTGGCTCATTCATTAATTTTTTTGAGTCACCACAAAAATCGACACAGACGGCAAACAGACAGACAGATGGAAACGGGGGATCTATATTTTCGGACTCTAGAGGTCATGACACATGAAAGCAGCCAATCGCCCTATGAACTCGATTACAATGCTTCCTTAACTTACGATCGGGAAGTAAAACCTTCTAAAGACGAAAAATTAACCAAACGTATAAACGTATATTAATTTACACATGTTATATAAGATTTGCTTGGCACAGTTTTGAAGTAATCTCCACAAGATAATCCCAAAATATGTGCAAAATTTCAAGGTAATTGGTTACTAAAAATCAACTACATACCTTGAAAATTTAGAATACCAACTTCCTCACAGGAATTGTAAATGTGCACTTATGATTTATTTTCAAAAACACACACAACAATCCAAGATTGGTCAAAAGTTATTTCGACAGAACATCCCTCGTCCCTGAAGTATAGTGAACCAAGAGTTATAAGGTTATATGGCCATCATAAAATCATCCCATTGTGTCGAAGTTAAGTTGTTTACAATAGAAAAGGTTTTAGGGTCGTAAATAACGTGTCCACTGCAGCTCGACCGGCTCGTGTGGTTTCGTTCAGGGACGGCTTTCACTAAATATGAAAATCCACCACTCCACTATTTCTTTACTACCTGCAGCCGCTGAGGGTTCCGAAATAATCACTCGCTTTGAAAGCCGGCCCTATTAAATATGAGCAAGAAATGTTTAGAAGATGATTTATTGCCAACCGGTAAGCTTAGTGCGAACCACACAAAGGGGGTATTTATTTGCGGTCAACTACTTTTATGATGGCCATATAACCTTATAGGTCTTGGTTCACTATACAAAAAAACATATGCAGCTTTTTTGAAAAATTATAAGATTTGATTTTGCGAATTTTATTTTTTATGAGAACCCCTATAAAGTTAAAATAAGAAATAATCAATGAATTACAAGTATACACTCATCATTTTTTACAATACTAAAAGTTTAAAATGTCTGGAAAATTTTAAAGCAATTGGTTTTGAAGAGTTAAAATCAAATTCCAAAATATTATTATACAATTTTGACTTTTTTCCAAAAATCTGGATGTCTCGGGTAAAAACTCAACACGAATTCATAAACTGCCCGTGTAGGACTATGTTATTTACACAAATTAAAACTCATTTACTGTATATACAATTTTGAGCTGACGTCATCACATTGTTGGTGGAGATAATTAATCAGACAAAGTCTGGTTATCGTTTTACCATTTACATGATATTCGTAATACACATATAAAATCAATCGGTCTGGTAGTGTCGGAGATTATCAGTCTAACAAAAATCGAGCCAGACTCACACCTCCCGAAAAATGTTGATGACGTCATCACAAAACTCTACACGTAGCACGTTTTATATTTACTTGAGATTTACATACATATCTTTATTTTAACTTATAGAGGTTCTCATAAAAAAAATCGCAAAATCAAATTTTGTAATTTATCGGAAAAACTGGATAGGTTTTATTGTACTTCAGGGGCGAGAAAAGTTGTGTCGAAATAACATTGGATCGATTTTTGTCATAGCAATAAATTATTGTAACAATGGTTTAAAATTACTTTTTCTACTCCCACTATTGTAAATAGCTAATTTTGTACAATCTAGTCACTGTGTAAATGATTCTTTACGCACAGTTGTGTGTAATGGCTGTGTGTAAGGAATAGGGAACTATTTGTTTTACTAAAAATATGTTGGCAGTACAACTCACCTTCTTATACCATTTACAGTGATAATATGAAAATGTTTTTTATTTTCAAGATAAATCTAGTTAAGAATTATATTCTACATATACTATCCTTCTTTTTTGTAATAAATTAATCCTTTATTTATCTGCAAATAGGAACTTTTTTCTTTAGTATATGCGTAGTGGCAGGCATGCACGTTTGACTTTTGTTGACAAAATACAAAATTTATGTCAGAGAAAAGTCTAAAGAAGGTATTTTGTGGATTGTGAGTTTCTCTATTACTACAACAACATAATTTCATCTGAATCAGATTCCGAGATTGTTTGTACACCACCAAATATTGTCGACAAAGCTAATGATAATGACTTAATGAGGCGACAGATTACCTTGTGGCAGCAAAATCTAAAAAGCGATATGAAATAATCTCTACAAATTTTATGGACTGGAGATTAAAGAACAAACTGAAATCGTTTTCTGAGAATGTTGCTGTCTCGCTTATTTTGGCGAAATTTCGAAACAGTTCAAAGCATCGTCCTTATGGACTATTTATTCAATGTTGCGTAGTATGTTAATTATTATGATAAAATGGAATACATTTTTTGTTAAAATGTGCTTTTTTTGGTGGTCGTAGAAAAAGTATAGTACATAACTCGAATGCAAACGCCTATTCCGCACTCGTTAAATTACTGCACTCGCCCCTACGGGGCTCGTGCGCAATTTTTAAACTCGTGCGTAATAGGCTGTTTACTATTCTCGT